TTTTTAAAAATATATCTTTATTGATTTCAGAGAGAGAAAAGGAGAGGGAGAGAGAGAGATAGAAACATCAATGATGAGAGTCTTTGATCGGCTGCCTCCTGCACGCCCCCAACTGGGGATCAAGACTGAAACTCAGGCATGTGCCCTGACTGGGAATCAAACCACGATCTCCTGGATCCTAGGTCAATGCTCAACGGCTAAGCCACACCAGCTGGGCTGAATGACCCCTCTTTAAAGAAGTATCGCCTTCCCCATACAGGGGCAAGTCCTCTGCAACTGTGCTTCTGCCATATTAGCCTGCTTTTTGGAACTTAGGTGAGTAGGTCAAGGATGGGCTCCTACCCCACTGGGCCAATAGCTTCTCTCTCCAGAGACTATGTACTTATGACAACAACAACAAAGCTCTTAGCCTGGATCTGTCTCCTACACAGAGGCTGGGAACTAGAGAACTCTGAGGCAGCCATATAGGGCCACCAGCAGTGACATGTCTGTGAGGCTGCGTCCTCCAGAGGGACCTTTTTGTTCACATCAGGGCAGCCCTCCAGGTGACACAGCTTCAAGTGCACAAATATGTGTATATAGTGACCTTGGGTAGCCGTAGTATTTGTCTTCTTAGCCAGGGATGTGGAGAGGGCTGGGCTGCAGGAAGAGAAGAATGAACCAGACATCTGGGAAGGAAAAAAAATAAACCAAAAACCTGCACAGGAGTTTAGCATTCACGTTCAGCAGGGATACTGACCTATAATTTCCTTTCCTTGTAGCATCTTTATTTGGCTGAGCTCACAGGGCAGATAGGAGTGCTCCCCCCCTCCCTGCCATGTAGCCACACAACCCAGCACCCACCTGTCTGGTTCCTAATAAAGGCCTTCCCAGGGCATGCTCTCTGAAAGTCCCAGCTCTGTGCAGCACTCGGATCCCCCTGTGGGACTGAACTCAGCAGGGTGGGGCCACAGGTAGCGGAAGTGATTCAACAGGTGGGGGTGGGCGAGTCCTCTCCCCTGGGAAGGCGGCATCTGGGTCTCAGGTAGACGCTGTTCTTTCCCAGGTGGGCTGAATCCCCACTGATTTTCACCACCAGATGCTACCAGGCTCCTTTTCTAGTCTCTGCTGCTCTGGGTTGAGACCACATGCTCCTGGGACAGGGAGTTTTAGAGCTGAGATAAACCTCCGGCTTTGTGGGTGTCTCTGCCCTTCTTACCAGTCTCTGTGTAGCTTCTGCTGTTAATCTTTGGATATAATATTTCAGTTCAGCCAGCCTTCCGTTGGTTATTCAGGTTGATTGCTCTATAATTTAGCTATAAATCTGACTCAGCACTGGGAGCAGGTGAGGGGAGCTCCCACCTACTCTGCAGTCATCTTGGAATCTGCAGTTGGTATTTTTTAAAGCTTTCCCGAAATAAGATTAGGATTTATCTTCATTGGATTAGATGTTATCGAATGCAAACACTGAGGGAGAGCTGGTAGCATATGAAGCCATTTTATTTGTTATCTATACTGAATCATCTATCAGATTACAGTCTGAGAAAAGATTTGGACAGTAGGGTAGAGCAAGGGTCGCAGCAGGAGCAGTAGAAAAAATATAAAAAGAGGGAGGTTAAGTACTGAGTTTCGTACATCTTTTTTCAAACAGAAAATTACTAGAGAACTGGGAGTAATTGCCTAAGCCAGAAGCTATTAAGGTGGAAGAAAATGGGTTATAATCATTGTCATTCCAAAAATATGGAATTCTCTTAAAGGAGTTTTCATAAAAATGATAATTTTTGCTAAAATTTTAGTTTGAATGTCAAGCTAAAACAATATAACATCTTAGCAAGATGAACGTAATTTCTAGAGCAAGCAGCATAATTAAGCAAGTGATCATAACTTAATGCCCAATTATTAATTCTATGTTAATAATTTAATTATCAATAATGTAATTATTAGAAGACACCAGAAACTCCTGTTGTGCCTGATTTCCCTACATTGTTCCCAGAAATCAAATGTGACTTTATTCTGCTTAAAATGTCATTGTTACTGTACCTCTTCTTAATCCATTCTCTCTGGTATTGTGGCCATTTTAGTGCCTGCTTTTTGCCTTCTATTTAACTAGAAGTTTCTTGAGAGAAGCAATCGCGGTATTCATCTTTCTATCTCTCACAAGGAACTTTCTTCAATTAGAACATTTTAGTTTTATTTATTGTATTAAGCAGTATTATTTAGGTATAAATTCTACTGCAAAAAATGGTAAACCGCCCCACAGTGGCTTAAAGCATGGGTTTATTTTTCTCATAGAGCAAAAATCCAGGTACAGGCAGTCCAAGGTTGGCACATATTCTCAAGGAAACTATCAGGAATATATTCTTTCCATCTCTCTTCTGCTGTTCTTGCTGTTTTGCTTGTCACCTCATGGCCACAAGGTAGCTGCTGCACCTTTAGGCTTTGCATTTTTTTGCAGGCAAGATGGGATAGATTCAAAAGTCCCAAAGGAACATTTCAGCCCAATCTATCATTTTAAAACTTTCCTGGAATCTCAGTCAGTAACAGCTAATTGGTTAGAATGAGACATATGGCTGCCCCTGGACCAATGCTGGAAAATGATTCGGGAGAAAGAAATTCTGGATAGGGGTTGAGTCAGCCAGAAACATTGTACCATACAGTTTGATTCTAATTGGAGTTGAAAGGAATATTACAGATTATTTGGCACCCCATACTGAGATCTGACAGATGGGAAGGCCATGGGCCAGAAATGTCTGAGCTCCACTGCCAGGTAATGGCAGAACAGAGACTAGACCAAGATCCAGCTATCACCATTCCTAGGCTGTTGAACATTCCATACATCTGCGCATAGACCATTAGCAGGTCCTACTTTAGAAGCTATGAGTCATTTGCAAAGACAGAATTTAGAATATTGGAACTTTGTTTCAGCTTTCTCCCAGAGAACCTTCCCCTTCCTATAAACCTTCAGATTAACAAATGAGGAAACAGACCTTCCAGTCCCCCTTTGACTGAAAAGATGGCAGAATAAACTGTTCAAAATTTCCGTGGGACGTGTCCTCCATAAATTGTTCTTTTGCTCTGTGAAACTCAGAAGGTTGTTTTTTAAAAATCCCTAAAAGAAAACAAATCCTTTATACAATGAAAATCCAAAGTTTTTCAAGGGTTTTTCCAATTATCGCTCTTTTCCCTTAGTATATATTACTATTGATTATTTTTACTAGAGAATTTTTAAAAATTACTGTTGATATTAAATGACCTTAATTCTGATCCTTGACTCCCCCCAAGTAAAGTTTTGCTAAATGTATGCCACCTAAAGAATTATTATTACAATTTTTCAGTTTCTCCAAACAACCAATAGCTTCCTAGCTAGGATAGTCATATTTCAGGAAACAGAGTATATCTGCATTTCAACCAACTAATGTTCAGTGAGAGTGTTATCATTTCTCCATATCTATAATTGCTATTATTATAAGTGCTGAATAAATGGTAGCTATTGTTAAGTTTATTTTGATGTAAGTTCAACAGGATACGAGATACAAATCTTTGAAACAGTTAATCATATTAAAACAAAAATAAATTAATTTTTATCATGTTCAAATATATTTGGGCCAGATTTTTGGGACTCTTACAGTTTTCATAACTGTATCATTACCTTATACATATATGCTTAGCTATACATATTTAAGTCACTCACCTATCTGCTGTCAAGTGCAGTTATTTTATACCGTTTTAAGGATTTATTCAGCAATAATCTTGCTACCATCAGAAACTGTTCGGGAGAATAGTTTCTATGAAAATTCTACTTTATAAGCTATTGTTTTAAATAGAGGGAGGTCTGGTAAAAAGATGTGTTAGCATATATTGTGTAATAACCCTACATGGTTTTTCTAAGTCAATTTTAATCTGTTTGGGGTGTGTAGTTTATCAGTTATATTTTGGTCTCTGAGATGAAACTTGCAAACAAAGCAGCGTGTGAGGGGGCATTGTCCTCTGGGTGTCGGCGTCCGCTGCACCTCTAGGGTGCCAGCCTCAGGCGACAGCCAAGGCGAGGCTCCCAGACGCAGCTCTTCCTCCAGGTGTTTCATGGAGCAATTGAGGCATCTTTGCTGCGGGCGTAAAGACACCTCCACCTCTGCTTTCAGGATTGGGACTTGGGTTAAATAAAACACAATGGAAACTGTACCCTAAGTACCTGGTTTTCACCCATTTCTTAAGGCTTCCTGTGTTTCTGAAGTGGAAATTTATAAATACACAGTCAAGCTGTTCTGAAAATAAAATGTAGGTGATGTTGAAAAATAAAGTTGTAGAAGTCATTGCAAAAAAAAAAAAAAAAAAAAGTAGGAGCCAAAGGAATTTCTGTAACAAAAATTCCCTAAGAGTATTTCACGATGCCCTGAAACTGAGATTGTCCGTTCACTTGAGCTACTTCTGAACCAAGGGAATGTTTTATACGTAGTTGACTCAGCCCAAGGACAGGAGCTTTAATTTTTTGTTATAGAAAATTTCAAAAACACACAAAAATAGAAAATACAGTGAACTTTTATGTACCCACCTCCCAGATTCAGTTACTATCAATATTTTGACATTTGTTTTATCTATAAACACACACTTCTTTGGCAAAATTATATTAAATTAACCATGGCATTTCACTCATATGTATCTACTATATCTCCAATTGGCAGGGATTTAAAAAAAAAAATAATGATGCTATTTTTCGTTTTAAAAAATAAAACAATTACATCATATATACTTAAAAATGAGCAATTCTTTCCTTAATATCAGAAATATTCTATTTTGAATTAATAATATGAAAGGAAATTGATGGTAAGAGGTGTTCTACGTTAATTAAAAGGCTTATAAATAAATCCCTTCCATGAAAATGTATAGCTGATTTATTTTTCCCATGGAGAACAAAAGACTTTTTAAAAATTGTTTTGTTTTTTTTTTTCCTAAATTTTTCTCTTCCTCTTTCTAGAGGAGGCATCAACTTCCAGTTCCTATCATTTTACAGTGGTGACTACCCACTGAAGAAGTTCATTTTAATTGACTGAAATGACACGGGGGAATCTCTGATGCATTCTTCCTGAATTCTTCTACAGTCAGCTCAGAGGTAAGTCCTAAGGGGTTATCATCCCTATATGCCTGTCATTGCTTAAAACTGATATGTTTATGAAATCTGTTCCATTAAGAGCCATTGATTAAGCTATTTTTCTATGAAAACCTCTCTTAGAATGGCTCATATTCCATTTGTTGGGTGCTCATCTATTTTTGGCTTTCTACTTAACTTTGATGAGACGTTTTCTGAGGTTTTTCTTGTCTCTCTGTTCTTCACTTGCCTATTTCTCTATTCTGTGAACATCCTCTATTCTTAATTTTAAAAATAGATGACAGAAACATTTTGGCTTCTCTAAGAGAAAAGAAAATGTTTTTTTCACTTGATTCCCCCCCCCCTTCAAAGTAGTAACTCTCTTAGGGTGTTTGTTTAGAATACGTTTAGCCATTCTAATAAGCTATGTATTGTTAGAGATGTTTTCCAAAGTATCCTGAGCAGTTTCGTAACCAGGAATTTTACTCACTCTCATGGCAAAGATGCAAATACGAAAAAGAAAATTGTGTGATGCTCTGATATTTTAGAAAGGATCATGCAGTTTAGAGAATTTCAAAATACCACTCAGCAGAGGAGTGCAGACCCCTTGCAGGTGCTCAATGATTTACTTAATAAGTGTATAGTTATTCCAATTTATTTCTGTCATCAAATACAGATTTTGTGGGCCTTATTAATGTTTCAAATCTGGAAGGCATCTCAGAGAACTTTATAGCCTAAAATTCCTTCAGTTTACTGGTTGGGAAACTGAGACCAAGAGAGGCTAAGTGACTTCCAAGGTTTGCCTGAAGGTTAAAAATGGAGTTAGAACCAGAGCCTCAGTTTAATGACTGTCAGTCCTGTACTTTCTCTACAATTTTTGAAAATAAGGAATGATTATGTAACAAGGTGTGAGAAGACAGTGCTCACTCACATTAGTATGTCACACTGTGAATTGTTTATTTCAGGACACCTGATCCTTTCACACTCTTTGACCCAGTGAATCTAGAACGTCTGACACAAATGGACAGCTGGCTAGAGCAGGAGGTAGGGTGGAGGAAGGTTTAATCTGCTTTCATTAGCATCGTGCTGGAATGCAGCTAATGGGAACTTACTCAGGTCAGGATACCTTCTCAAGGGAATTTAAAAATGAGAGACTCCCCCCTAATGAAACAGGAAATATTGGAATAATTTCATAAAACCGCATTCAAGTTTGCATCTGAGAAGGAGAAAGGATATCCTTCACCTTCAATAATTCAATGTATTTGTTGGCTTAACACAGTCCCTGCCATTTTTGTTGTTTCATTAATACGTTCCCAAAGAGCATGTCACTTGCTTTGATTATACCGGTGAAATGTAAATCGGTACACATGCCACATTTTTGCTGTGAATAAATGTCCTGTTAATAGTGATGAGAAGGAGGTAATAACACATATGTCTAAAGACCCACTTAAGTGATTTAGTCCCAATCCCTTTTCCTCTCCAATGGCAGCTTTAGGAACTGTGTTTAGTATTTCAACTTCCAAATGGATGAGCTTTATTTAAAGCCATTAACAGCTTTATTTAATATTGGCTATTATTTTCATGTATTTTTTAAATTGTTAGCTTTATATTCATATTTAAAATAACTCCCTTTTGTAACACACAATTTCATTGAAAAGATACATAATCAACAACTCATGGGAGTTTTTCTTTCAGTAGGCTGGAGTTAGCACTGCTCCTAAAAAACTACTGTCCTTCACTCTGTGTTTCCAATGAGAAAAACAAATAAATAAATACTAGAAATGTCACTTTGGTGAGGTTATTAACAACCTCAAATTAGAGGGAGGCTCCTCTAAGGGGGAAAAAGGGTGATAAAACACGCCCACTTGAAATGGCCTCATAGTTGAAGCAAATGGCATGGCCCAAAAAAGTCCCACCCAGCAGGAAATGGTAAGAACAGCCTTAAAATATTCCAGAGAAATAGGTTGTTTCAATAAAAAGAAAGGGGGAAAAAAGTCTGCCCATGGCATTGATTGAATTTCAACTGAGTCTATCAAAAAGTTGGGCTGGAAAAACACAGTACTGGGGAATCTAAAATCCTTCAGCATCATTGGAAATTCAGCCTCCTGCCCCCCAAATAATGGAGGCTAACACATAAAAATAAGGTATGGATACTGTTCTTATGTTGTAATTCAGTCTTTTTTTTCTGACATTAAGCTTTAAGTATAAAATTGAACAATGTCACAATGTAGCTAATTAATTTATTCCAATATTATTAAAATCTCTATACTTCACATCAAAGTCACACTGTGAATTATTAAAATGGTCTCTTCAAAAATATCCTGATATCCTGAAAAATGTTAACTCGCGGTAGCTTTTCCTTAACTATAGTATCAAGGAACAACCAAGAAATATTAATAGTCCTAGAAGATGATATGATGATATAATGGGAAGAACTGGGGAATTCAAAGTTAGTTTAAAGGTTTACATCCTAGTCAATGACTTCGGATGGATCACTTAATTCCTCTGAGCCTGTCTTCCTTATGCGTGAAGTGGGACTAATGATATTTACCTTGTTGGATCTCCTCTACCACTTAAGGAAGATTACATCTTGGCTTAGTGTGTGGGAGATGATCAATTAATGTTTATTTCTCCCAATGTATGATAAGGATAGAGCCTGAATTAAAACCTGAATATCTTAAAGTGCAGGCCAGCGCTCTTTTCCTCGAGATTGCATAAATTGTTACAGTAAGCTGGCAGGCCACACTGAGAAGACTGGGAAGGTTGGGGAGTAAAGATTGTCTAAGAAAAAAACCAACCTAATAAATTTTTTAAATGTCCAGGTGGACAGTATGATAAGGAAGAAGAAGACCATGTATGAATTAAGTGTAGAAATGATGTTTCAGGCTTCTGTGTCTCCAACATTTAGTATATTGTAGGAATCTTTGTGGAAACACAAGTACTCTAACACACTGTGTTATGTTCTGCATTGTACTTTAAAGATGCTTTCTTATAAATCTCTAGTTTTCTCAATGAAGCCTGGGTTGTTGTTGTTTTCTGTTTCTTATACTGTTGAGACATTTATTTTACAAAATATACAGGTAATAGTTAAGGGACTGGTGAACATTTGTATAGAACACTGCCACCTTTTGGTTAGATTTTAATGAGAAAGACGTGTGTTGAGCAAACTGCCTAAAAATTCAATTTTACAAATGGAAAATTGAATGGACTAGGCAAGAACTATCTCAAATATATTTACTTTTATTTAACAACTCCATTAGTGGTTGGCTATAGTATTATCTGGTCAAGTCAAAAGGATTTTCCCTCTTATTTTCTACTTACTCAGTTTCTGGAGAGTGCTTTGAAAATGCCACTCTTTTGGCAGCAACTGGGTAAGATTAAATGCTCAGTCTTTGTCCTGTGCTATGGAAGGGCATAGTCACTGAAGGCGGTCACTCCTGCATAAGAGGTCATGTTGAGGGAAGGCAAACTAAAGCTTCACCATCCTTGCTGCATGTCATCACTCATACATTCCAGTAAGAGATTTGTATTTAAATGTTCTTTCTAGACCCACCTTTAAGAGCTTGGCTTTACATTTATTATCTCCTTTTTACAGATCAGGAATTTTTAACCTAGAGAAGTTAAATACATGAGAAGTCACAACTTGATTGGGACAGAGATATACTGGAAACCCTGTCTGCTGACTCCACAAATATGCTCATAAGACCTACACTATATTCCTGAAATAGGTACATTTTCCCCCCAGTGACAACTCATCATCTAGGGTAGAAAACAATAATTGCCATGCCAGTTCTAGAGGAGGCTGACTTTGGCTTCCATTCTTACTTCTACCCGCCCTTAGAAATTCCACGTTGTCCAGTGACTTCCCTTGTCCCGTCTATTCACCCCGCCACCCTGCCCTCAGCCTCTCTCTCGCACTCCCATTCCAACGCGCGGGCCAACTTCTGGCTCCACGTCTTCTCTTGGAATCTTCACCATCACAGAGTCTGCATGTCTAAGCTGAATGCTCCTTTTTCTGATGTAATTTTTCCTTCCATACTGCCCCTAAATCACTCTAGAGTTTTCCGTTCTGCTCTTCCCCAATCCTGCCAGGTACATAATCCTATTAGTTGGCTAATTGATTCCGCCTTAAAAGCACAAACCCAAGAGCTAAGAATATCGAGGTAAGTCCCTGTCCTCTAGGCTCACAGTAAATGGATTTTAGGGTCTTTTTCTTTTTTTTAATTTTAGGTTCTTACTTAATGTCTTTCACATCCAATCCTTTCTTTTCATTCCCACTGTCAATATTTTAACCCAGTGTATAGTCTTGTCAGGATCAGACCCTTGCACGTGTTTCCCAGCTGGTGGTTTGTCTGCCTGTACTCTCCCTGCTCATCCCCAGCCTGAGCCTGGATCCTTCAGGCTCTAACCATTCTATTAGCTCCCGACAGAAGAATCTTCCTGAATCCTGCTTTCCAATGTTGCTTCTTTGCTCATAGGCCTTTAATGGCTGCTATTGTTAGACGAATTATGGCAAACCTATTAGCCTGTTTTTTAAGGATCTCTATAATCTACTACTCTTGTTCAGCCTTATTGCCTACCATAGAAGTATTTCTGAAGGCTGGATCCTCAAATTCCCTCAGTCAGATTCACATAGGCATCTTATTAGAAACATAGGTTTCTTGTCCACCAATGAATCATTTTCTTGCACTGCATCTGAAAATTGAAAAGCAGTCCCTGACATCTGGAAGCTGGTCTGGCACTCACAGCTAGGACATGGTGTTCTCCTGTGGAACACAAGCAATTTCACTCAGTGACCATGATGACCAATATGTAATCAAGTATCGGCACAGACAAAAACAAGAACATTGTCCAAACTACGTAAATGGCCAAATATCCCTTATCCTGGATGATATGACTGATTGCTGCTTCTTTACTAATTACAATTACAGCATTGCTTGTTTTTCCCCCATCTTCTAGGTAAGAATTATGAAGATACCTATTCATAGAATTATCCCTGCTTCTTGACAGCATCTAATCTAGAGCAAAGTCCTGCATCCTTGGATCCTTTCCAAAATCACTAGCACAAACTCAAATATAAGTTTTTTCCTAACAACCTATTACTGAGGCACTGCATGGTTCTCTAAGGTGTGCTGTCTCCCTCTTTGCAATGAATCAATAAACCCAACCTCTTTCAGCTATAGGTGTGTTCGGGTTGTCTTTGGCTGGGCATTGACAGACAGATCACATAAATCTTCATTTTATTGAACTCCTCAAGTGATTCCAAAGTCGAGGTTGGGAACCACCGCTACAACCAAGCTATGCTCTTATGTTTTCCTATAAACAAGTCATATTCATTATTACTTATCTAAATTTTTTCTGTTCTTCAAAGCTAACTTATGTTTCCCTTCACCACTGAGGGTCCCTGTACCCTACCATCCCGTGTCATCTCCTCCATCACTGAGCTCATGTCAGTGATACCCTTTGGGAGCTAAATGCAAGACGTGTCATAGCTTCCTTAAAAACTACAGATCTTCGCCCGGCCGGGCGTGGCTCAGCTGTTGAGCGTCGACCTAGGATCCAGGCGATCGGGGTTCTATTCCCGGTCAGGGCACATGCCCGGGTTGCGGGCTCGATCAATGACTCTCTCATCATTGATGTTTCTATCCCTCTCTCTCCCTTGCCTTTCCTCTCTCTGAAATCAATATAAGATATATTAAAAGAAAAAAAAGAAGAAAAAAAGAAAAAACCACAGATCTTTAACATCAGACTCTCCAGAGACAAAACCACTCCTAATCTCTCTCCATGGAGGAATCTTCCTGAACTCTGCTTTACAGTGTTACTTCTTTGCTCATATACCTTCGGTGGCTGCTATTGTTGGCAGAATTACGTTGAAAAATTTCAGCCTGGTATGAGTGAGCAAGCTGGCGCTGTTCAACATCACACTCTTCTAAGTAAAAGGTAAAAGGGAGTCCAGAAATGTCAGGCCTTTCTGCCAGGGCCAAATCTAGTAAGAGGCTCCCAGGAAGGCTCCAGAGGCTACACAGGAGAGGTAAAATCTGGCATTGTTTAGTATGCAGGAAGAAGGTAATAAATGAATGAAGAAATGTATGAAAATAATGAATGCTTGCACTCCTAGGAGAATTTTTATCATCGGACATGCTTCAAAAGCCCACAATTTATTGCATGGCAATCACAATGAAATATTAAATTACTTAAATGTATGCTATGTACAGAACAAGGGCTCATGGGATAACATGGGTGGGATTCCTAGAAGGAACAACTTTGTACACGACCACCTAACAGATTAGGAGGAGGTAGTCACTTTATAGGATTGTAAGGAACCATTTTACATACATGTTAAGGTCTTTTTCAAATACACTTGCTCAAGTAAAAATTTTTAGATACCAAGTTTAGGAGTCATTTTCTAAGGTCTTACTTCGCTTTGGCTTGCTGTGACAATTGCTAGCTCCCTGCTTTTAAGATATTTTCATTTTCCTGTCTTTCCTACATTTGTGTTCTTTCTATCCTTTGATGTGAGTGCATCCTCCTGTCCTGAAAAGAGTTCTGTGTAAGAAGATCTTATGAACTCTTCTTTGTTAGGAAATATTACTTTCTGCATAGTTTTAGATCGAAAAAAAGGATCCTCCGTTAGGGAATATCGTGACACATCACGGGTGCTGCCTTCCGACGTCCTCGGAGCTGCAGCAGCGTAAGTGCGTTACGGCCCAGTTACCTTCTCCTGATGTGTACAGACTACGTGGGCAGCAAGTGGCAGGAAGGCAGGGTCCAGGTCTGTCTTATCGGTATCATTATGTCCCCCACATATTTCTTGCACCACATTATAATGCCTTTAATATAAAAGAAATGATAATACACCTTTGCAGAAATTGGAGAGAATGTAACCAATGGCATAGAGAGGCAGGAGAGGGCAGAAGCAAACAACCCGGAGGGCTTTGGCTCTCATCAGAATCAAGATGGTGGCAACTTGGCATGGTTCATGTGTAGGGATCCAAAATGTCTGTGGTTTCGGAGAAGGTATACAGAAATAAGTCCACACATGCTCACATTTCAAATAAGAGCTTGTGGTTGGAGGCGGATTAGCGAAGGAGACATGGCCCTTTCCTTCAGCAGCCCACAGTCTCGCTGAGGAGACAAGGCCAGCGAACAGGCCCCTGCCGGTGGTAACCAAGTGCTAGGCCCAGCCTGAGAGCTGAGCTCCGCTGGAGGCGGGGAGTGCGGGGAGGAGGGGAAATGCACTGAGAATTCAGTCACTCCCTTTCATATGCTTGCCCATGTCAGTCAGTTTGCCCATTAAAAAATATAATTTCCCAGAGGCTAGCAGCCATGCCTCTTTATTTATTTACTTATTATTGATTTGAGAGAGAGAGAGAGAGAGAGGGAGGGAGGGAGACTCTGATTCATTGTTCCACTGATTTATGCATTCGTTGGTTGAGTCTTGTATGGACTTTGACCAGGGATTGAACCCACCACCTTGGCATATCCGGACAGCCTCTAACCAACTGAGCTACTTGGCCAGGGCCTAACCATGCCTTTTTAACTGACTGAATTCTGATAACTAGGACAACTTCCACATCACTCATCTTAGAGTCTCTAATCTGTGAGGTGATTCTAGCTTCCCTGTAGCTGTCTCCATTAAGGTCCAATTCACCTGCCTCCTCTACTCACCTTTGGGGTTAAACTCTTAGGTACCCACTTTACAAAGTGTGTCAGTTTTGCTGGCTCTCCAAACCTCCAGCTTTGACATACTGGCTATCAAGACCTGTACCGCATTTGCTTTTCTTTGCCTTAACCGGCCTACTTAAAGGTGATATATTCCTGTCTAGTCCTCTCGGTGAAATGAATTCCTGGCCCAGTCCTTTCCAGGCTAGACTGCCAAGCTATCACTCCTGCCCCCTTGTATTAGTTATCTCTTGTTACTCAACAAATTACCCCAAAATTTAGTGGTTTAAAATAATGAACTTTTACTATCTAACACAGTTTCTCAGGATCAGGAATCCGGGAGCAGCTTAGCTGGATGGTTCTGGTTCAGCCTCTCAGGAGGCTGCACTCAAACTGTCAGCTGGGGCCATGGTCACCCAAAGGCTTGAATGGGGCTGGAAGATCCACTTCCACACTTACTCAGATGGCTGTTGGCAAGAGGTCTCAGTTCCATGCTGCTAGGGCCTCACCATAAAGTTGTTCACGTCAGGGCAGCTGGCTTCCCCCAGAGTGAATGATCTGAGAGAGACAAAGGCCACACTGCCTTATGTGACACATACCGCTAGTCCCACTTTATTCTGTTCATTAAAAGTGAGTCACTAAGTCTAACCCACACACAGTGGGAGGGAGATGACCTAAGAATGAGCCTACCGAGGGGCAGGGACCATTGGGGCTGCTCTAGAGGCTGCAGGTTACATCCCTTTATAAGGTGACTTCTCAGTTCATTTGAAATTTGTTCATATGTTTAACTCCTTGATAAAGGTGAAGCAAATTATAATCTGTTTGCCTGTGAAGCTATATGAAGTTAATATTTTATACTTTAGTCTCAAAATAAGAGTTTTCTTTCTTCCTACTGACAGATTTTCTCTTTTTGAAAATATACGTATCTTTTTACCCAATATTATCTTCCACTGAAAACTGTAGGTTACCATTTCTTGCTTATGCTGATTTGTAAGCCTGTCAGGGTAACAGCACAAAGTATTCCTTAAACAATGCTGAGAAGCAAATGGAGAATTCCTCCTCCTTCTTACTGCCAGCTGAAAATATTCATTTCCATATCCAAATCCTTTGCCACTCAGAAAACAAGCCAAACCCACTTCACTGTAAAAATGAGCATTTGGCAAACGTTTTCTTCGCTTACTTATATCAAATAAATAAAGGACTGTATTAGCGTGAGCATTGGTTTATTTCAGAAATAAATGAAAAAAATTCAGGGCTTGAGTCTTCAGTGTTTAAAGGAAGCAAAAATTCAGCAACTAAAACATAACCTACTACTGTCATCTTTTAAGCCAGGTATAAATTAGAAGTTGAAAGTCAAAGTCATGGCCTCTGCCATCAGGAGCTTACAGTCAGTGAGCATGTTAGAGCTTGGTTCCTAAAACACCACACGTGCTGTCATTCAGAAAGCAAAGTCTGGTGTCATGCCCCCGTTTTATCTTTAAGAAAACAGGGATTTTGTCCGTTCTTAAATACATGCCTACTTAGACGGCACTGAAAGAGTTGTCTAAAGAAGGAATGATGCTAAAATACCCATTTGTGCAGAGCTCTCGCACACTCATAGATTTGGACATAGACCCTTGGGCAAGTGTCTGAACAGAATGAAGACAGGACTGGATTCCAGTCTCAGTTCCACCACAGCTGGCTGATTTCAACAGCATCCCTGAGCTTAGTTTGCTTAAAAGTGAAATGAGAATAACAAATACCTATACTTGCCGATTTGTTTTGATAATTAAAGTGTGTTAAACTTTTAGTGAAAGAGCTGGCACATAGTAGGCATTCAGGAAATGTTAGTTCTTCCTCTTGTATCCCACCAAAACATACTGAATTTCTCTGCTGGGGAGCTTTTTCATACAGTTAGTAGTTGCCTCATCTTCTGGCTCTGCTGGCAGATCTGGGTGTGGAGGGGAGCTCTTCTACCTTCTGCATAGAGAACATCATTAGATTGTTAACTATATTCTGGACACTTAGGAGAAATTGAGCTGAATATTTAAGTACCCCCTGAAGTCGATGCACGATTTAGGAAATTATGCATATTAGAATGTTATGCTGCAACATGATACATTAAGCCCCAATGAAGCTGTGGTTCCTAATTCAGACTGTATTAAGTTTCTCTGCTTAAATTTTATTACCGTGTAGATCATCTATATCAAGTGAATCAAGCCAACTATTAAAGCATCACTAACAAGAGAAAGACATTTTAATGTATCAAGAAACCACTCTACGAAATTTTACACAAGATATACCACTTATTTTAAAGGTATTGGCTGAAAAGTTGCTAATGTCAAGTTTTATATTAATTTTTGTTTACCAAATGCTTTGCAATCACATTTATTTCCCATCTCCAGAGACTTCTGGCAATGGACCAAATCAAACCACCACCTTGGAGAAGTGATTCTGCTGAGGTGGAAGGCACCGTTACACCACACGCGGATTGAACATTTAGGGTAATTTCATCTACAGTATCCTGTAGTGCCCCTTCTACTGTCAAAATAGCCAGACTATAGCCTTGAACCTTTTCTCGAACACGCTATCTCCCATGAATTGAAAGCTATATTGTCTCCCAAACCCCCTTCACTTTGCCACAGAGCCAGGTAAGAGAGTCAGAACACTCTACACCTTGTCCTCCTTCCAAGCCATTTATTGTTTCACTTTTGCTTAACTGCTTTTCTTACTAGAACTTAATGTAACCCTCTTCTTGTCATAGAATCTGAGTTTCCTTGTCACATCCATGCTTGATATATTTTTAAGCAATATCCCAACCATGCTCAGTCTTAATCTCACACTACTCACTTTTCCAAAGGACTGATATATAAACCATGGCCCAATTTTTACATTTACAAGTATAACTATGACTATGAAGAAAACACAGTTACTCAGGTTGAAAATGAGTCCATTTGATCCCTGTAGACCAATTTATGAGGGAGCCACAGTAGAATCAGAAAGCTGTTGGGTGAACCTGTAAGCATAGTAGGTAAAGTTAGTAATATGATATTCTTAGTTAATGTTGTTAATCTGTGATTGCCTGATGCCTTTCTTCACTGACAACCATGTTGTTAAACAGACTAAATATTTGACCAGTTCATAGTAGATAATGCTTTCTAACCACATTGGAGGCACACACAAAGTTGCTATAGTTCTTTCTGCCTTCCTCTCAAAAGGCCCCATGCGGACTTGGAAACATGGGATATATTCTTTGGCTACAGACTCTTTTCTTTACTTAAACACAATATGATTGATTTAGACTTAGGCACTCTTCCTTATAGTCACCTTGATAAATCCTGGGTATTCCTCTATCATCTTAACCATCCAGTGATGATTATGCCATGTTTTTCCCCCAAAATTCATGATGAGGGGATATTTAGACACCCCTTTTGCCCTACCTCATGCTCCCCTAACATATTTCCAGCCCGGGTGTCATTATGACAACCAAGTGTACAGCAGTATTACCTGGCAGCACCTGCCTCCACTACAACTTCTTGCTTCCTGCATCAGGGGATTTTTGCTGTAATGCCTGTGGGAACCTACTCAACTAAATTGTGACTCACATACAAACCTGTAAGTCGGAGGGACTTAACACAATGAGGAATGAGAGGCGGTAAAGAAATAGTTCCCTCTTTCACCCTCTGAGTGGACAGATTCTGAGGTGTGGTCAATATACCTTCTCAGACTGTCCCCATATAATGAGATCACACTGGTTGATTGGCCATACTCCTTAAAAGGAATGTATGTTTTTCTCAATTGAAAAATGTGGAGCGCAGGGGTAGTTCCGTTATGCCCATTTTCACATTGGCAAGTAGAAATGCCATCATGACTTTCAGAAGTATTTTATCAGCTCCCAAGTCAACATGCATATTCTCCAGAATATTTAAACCCATCAAAACATTTGGACAATTTGCAAAAATAAACAGCATGAGAAAAATTTTAATTAGGAAAACTTAGTAAATCAAATGTTAAATTGTCTACATGATTCTCTTCTGTTCAATGTTGTAGCATAAAAAAGTGAAAAACTGGAGATTTGCCCTTAGAAATTAAGTGTTTTTCTCTTTTTAACTGATGGAAACATGCTATGGAAACTAGTCACAAAATAAAATTGCTGCATTATAAATATATGTAAAAAATAAAAGCCCTAGTACATGACATGATCTTTGAATTTTCCTCAAGAAGATATCCCATTTAATACCTTCCCTTAAATACTGATACAAAATCAGAGGTCAGCCAAACATCTTGGCAATGCTAAGAAATTATACTTTAAATGAAGTATGCAAACTCTTATTTTCATTTTCTAATCTTAGTTCAGAGAAGATGGAAAATGCCAGTATTCAGTCCCCAAAGAAATATTAACTCCTCAAACTGGGCTGCTTTGGAATAAAAAGTCCTACATGTGTGCCCTGTGAACTTAGTTAATATAACTACAAGTACTGCAATTTCTGCATTTCCTGATTTGTACTAAAATTGCAAGTATATTAGTTTAATATTTTATAGGGGTTTTGGAAGACTGCTCTTGAAATTTTCAAGGTCTATACAGGGTTGCCATTCCTCTGGAAGCAAAAAGCCAGCATCTGACAATAATTCTCTATAATCTTTTACTTGGTCAAAGGCTCTGGTTGATTATAGTTGTGACTTTTACTCACACACAAATTGAACACTTTCACAAGTAAAGAGGTTCTTTTTTCTCTTTTGTTCAAAATAACAAAAATTAGCCCAGCCGGGCGTGGCTCAGCGGTTGAGCATCGACCTAGGATCCAGGCGATCGGGGTTCGATTCCCGGTCAGGGCACAGGCCCGGGTTGGGGGCTCGATCAATGACTCTCATCATTGATGTTTCTATCTCTCTCTCTCTCCCTCTCCTTTCCTCTCTCTGAAATCAATAAAGATATATTTAAAAAAAACAACAAAAAAACAAAATAACAAAAATTATACACCATACCCTCTCTCTATCTCTGTCCTAGATTCATCAAAGTATTACATCTAATCCCAGGCACCCTGATTAGTTACCCAATCACCACAGATACTTTTAAAAAGGGACAGTTTTTATCTGAACACTCAAATTGTGCTTAAATGCTTTGCAAGAGTTCCATTGACTTTATTCTTTATTCTGTCCATTGTTTGTGGTTTTTATTTCTTTGTTTTTGTGGCCCTATACATCTATAGGGCACTCTTTTATTGACTATTGACAAAAATCTATTCAAATAATAAATATTATCATAATTCTAAATTATTTTGTAGAAACAGGTTTATATTCAGATGCATAGACTAGCCTACATAAACCTTTCTCTCCAAAAAAAAAGGTATGTAATTTTGTTTTCACGTGGTTATAAGAAACGGTAAACTTTCTGTTATTATTTTGCACAGCAACATTCATAGACCTTAAATTTTGGGTATATTGATGACATTACCTGGAAACTTGGTAGAAATCAAATATTCCATAATTCAAGAGAGTTGGCAAATGATTTCATAATAATTATGACAAATACTGTATTACTTCATTTATCCGAGGTACCCAGAGTAGTGAAACTCATAGAAACAGGAAGTAGAATGCTGCTTGCCAAAGGCTGCGGGAAGGGGGAAATGGGGAGTTGCTGCCTAATGGGTGCAGAGTTTCAGTTTTGCAAGGGAAAAAGTTCTGAGGATCTGTTGCACAGTGTGAATATATGAAACACTACTGAATTATACGCTTAAAATAGTTAAGAAGGTCTTAAAAACTTACCAAATTGCATATTTTAAATATGTGTGGTTTATTGTATGTTAATTATACCTCCATAAAACTATTTCAAAAACATTGGAAAGTGTAATTTTAGCAAGTGACTAAAAGAATATAGACTCCCAAGTCAGAATGCCCGGCCTCAGACCCCAGCTCTGCCCCCTCTAGTGCTGTGACCTTGGGCAAGTCATTTCATAACTCCGTTCCTCAGCTTTCTCGTCTGTTAAATGAATTTATAATAGTACCGCCTTACAGAATTTTCTTTGAATTACATGAGCTAATAGTACTCATACAGCAAGTAATCTAGTACATTGTTTGTGCTAAATAAAAGAATCCACCTATTGATCTCACTCCTAATGTATTTCTACGTATGGATGTTAACAGAGATTTTTTTTCTAAGTGGTTGCTCTACCAGAAATTTTAATTATTCTCTTCGCTTATCTGAATTTTAAAATCTTTTTATTACATATAATTTTTATATGTGTGACTTTATAATAAAAACAATAAAAGGGTTTTTTTAATGAATAAAAAGTCACATGGTCCATCTAGTTTAGAAGTTTTTCTCTCTTGATAAAACTGAGCAAACGTGGGTTGTTTTAGAAATCCTTCTAATATCTTTAGCACTATTATTGAAAAAAGATACTATTGTATATGTATGAGAAAAATAGTTTACAATAACAATCTGCAACTGTTATGAAAATTAAAGTTTATAATCCTCTAAATTTTTATAGTTATATCATCAATTATAGAGTAATTTCCTAACTGTGTGTAGCCTGGGTGACAATAACCCAAATTAAATGTAGGGCCGCAGAAGTTTTTCATATGGATGTCTTGCTGACCCACTATTTTTGCTACGGTGGGAAAAGCCACGGTAGATTTGGTGTTAATCCTGCTTTTCCCCTGGACAGAGTCAGTTCTGGCCTGCTCTATCTCTCATTACTGTGATGACGGCTCTATCCAGATGCTAAATACTCGGGAGACACTCCAATACAGTGTTAAAGACTGAACACTTCATCCCCAAAGAATGTAGCATTCCAAGAGAAAACAGGCCTCCTCTGACACTGGTAAAATTGTGAAGGTGTGTGATAAATTAGGCATCAAAATGAGAGGCCACAAATTCTTAAAGGTGCTCTGGCCCTCACAGTGAATCCCTCTTCCTCTCTTTCCAACACAGAAACAGTCATATATTTTAAATAATGATAATAATAATAGTGTGCAAATAATCACTAGTAGAAATAACAAAGTGTTTTCAAATATAAAGTGTTACAATAAGCTTTATGCAATTAAGAAGGCTGTTCTACATGGGAATTAGAGAATAAATAGCTAGAGATATAATTAACAATCAAAACTGAAATATCTTAAACTATTTGAGGAGATTTATTTTGAGAGGATGGGCAAGAATACTTTGTCCTTAGGGCACTGGTTTCTTCCATTGTCTTTCCTTCTTGTCTTTCATTTCTCCCTCCCTCCCTCTCTTCTCCTCTCCTTTCCTTCCTTTGTACAGAAATGTTCATTTCTTTACATTCAAAAAACAAAGGATTTTAAAAGTACCATTTACTTGAAACATGAACTTACTAAAGAAATACAAAAAATTTTAAATCTAAAATGAATTTTATTTATATCAAATAAAACAAACGATGGCTTGTTTTTCAAACAGATTTGACTATAAACTAGAATAATTGTATTTCAAATCAAAAGTACGCAAAGTATCATTTCTAAAATGATCAATGCCTATATTTGCTTT